TTTTCGTCTCCATTCCCAACTATTAAATATTCCACAACATTTTCGCACGAAGCTTCTTCTTCACAGTCCTACAGTTCATGTCCCTCCTCCTTGTCACAACTCTCATTTAAATCTCCTATTTCCATCTAGCAAATGCATGTAATCAATAAATAATTAGTAAGACAAGTCAGCGTTGAGATATTTCAATCCAGATCAAACGAACATGACCTAAAGTCATCTAATTAATTTATTTATGGAGAGTTTCATTTTAATAAAGTTTCTACATTGACGAGACACTAAATAGGTAACTATACCAACTGGAGGTGGTTTTAAGAATCAAAATGTTTTTATCAATGATAGATTGGTTTCTGATGGGTTTTGACCTCTTTGAAACCAGCTTAAAGACGGATATACTTATTTAGCAAATTATGTAGATCTTACCTATATAAAAATGACGGTGGTTTCACTAGCAAAAGTATTGATGGTAAATATATATATTTTTTCCTTGGAGTCTAGTTAATGCAAATATGGGTAGATGTGACACAATCTGTTCCAATTTGCTTGTATTTGAAGATTGGAGAAAGTACAAGGAAAAAACGATTAAAGATATAGAAAACATATATTATAATAAAATTTATTTTCTACTTTATAGTTGTTCAGTATAAGGAAACATTCTTTTTTACAAAACTTATATTGTCGTCCATGAAAAAAAAAGAATGACACAAGTATGAGAGCATTCCGACCAAGTGCACATTCTAGACTTTCAAGTGTCACGGCAACAATTGGGCAACATGATTCTACACATTTTTTTAAGATTCCTTCCTCTTGTTGTGCATTCATATTTATTTTATTATTTTTTAAAAATTTCTCACGCTACTCACACACCATCACTTTATTTTTAAAACCAAAAGTGTACACACAAGACTTTGGGCCTTGGTCAATGCTGTCAATCAACGCTCCATTCTTCAATAGTGAAGAATGGAGTGTGTAATATGATGTGGGCTCACTAAGTAGAGAAACCCACACCAAGACATATCAGTGCAAATTAATATTCATCTTGGTTTGCACCGTAAATGTTTTGAGAAGGTACCTCTTCAAATCATTACTCTTCAAAATTTATCCAAGAAAATTTGCAGAACGATGCTATTGTTGTTGCTTTCTAGAAACTAGATGCTAATGTTGTTTAAGGCGGTAGGGTTAACTAGAAAATTTTAGGAAAGTTAAAAATGTAAATTACAATAAATTTTGATAGTTACCATTATTCTCTCCTCTCATCCCCCATGAAGCAAGGAGTGATACTTCATCCATTCTTGCTTCCTCCCTCTCTTCCCTTCCCTCCACAACCGAACACAAAAGGATTCAAGTAAACACCCTTTCCTCAATCCCTCCTTCCAACCAAACATACGCCTTGTCTGCTGTGAACCTTTTGAGTGATTGCCTGATAAAATTTTCATGCAATTGGTAGACCCTTAATTTTCTTGCATTTGAATTTTTTTTTTCTTAGTTGACACTCACTTTTTTCTTGCATTTGATTTGTTATATATCCACCATTAATTGTTGTTTCCAACAAAAGATTCATTTATAGATCACTCTTCTTCAACTTCAATTTTATTCCTTTAAATATCTGCCTGAATTATGAAATCAATCGAGCCTAATTCATTGTGTTAAAGACAAAATTACCTTCTCTCTAGCTCTATTGATTAAGTTTTGTGACACAAAAATGGCAGCGAGTTGAGCCATGGAAATGGTCAATCCAGTGGTGGAATCAAAGAAGATGATGAAAATGGTCAATCCAGTAGTGGAATCAAGGATGATGATGAGTTTGATGATATACATAATGGAAGAGAAACCCTTTCCTCCTCAATAAAATAAAATACAGAAGGTAGCACCACAATTACGGATGGACAAAGATGAGTTATTTGATCCTACAATCGTGTCAATCGGTCCCTATCACTATGGCAAGCCGGAGCTCAAAGACCAAAATGGCACGCGCATTTGTAGCCGACAGTAAACGAGACAGCCATGAATTCCATAACAAGATGTCAGTGATGCTAGGAATTGCCTACCTCAATGGCTCAGCAGATGCATTATGAATGAATGAAGCATTCAATCATATAATGCTCATTGATGGTTGTTTTCTTCGGTATTTCATTGGAAATATTAAGTACGAGGATTTGGACGAACTTTATGGGACATTGGTAGACTTGATTATTTTAAAGGGGGGCTTAATATTGCTGGAGAACCAACTTCCTTTCTTATTTCTCAAAACCTTGATGAGCGCAAGATTCCCAGAAGACGAAGGGGAGGCATTGATTGGGACTTTCATCCACAATGCATTCATTCTTCACCCAAAAACGTCCAAATGGTACCAAGTATGATGAAGATTAGCAAACCCTACATTTCCTAGAACTCGTGCTGAGAAGAGTTCTTGGCACCCGCCGTAGCTCCAACGATAGACCAACCCAGCTGGTCCAGATTAAGAGAACATAGAGCAACCAAGACGAAGGACCTAGTCAAGGATGTGTTTAGTTAGTTAGTTTACTCATTTCAAGGATATGTTTGGTACTATGTTTAGTAACTCATTTCGTTCAGCCACATAACTGAAAGCAAGGGGGATACATTTAAACCTAGGATACACGAATATTTCTCCAAGAGCGACATACTTGTATCGGATACCGATAATCTTCAGATACTCGCTAATATGTGTCCGATGATTCTTAAACGTATCCAAAATTTTAAAATATATTTTTTAATTTCTAACGCGTATCCAATACTTCTCAGATATTTTGCGTATTTAATACTTTTCAGATATTTCATTTTAATTTTTAACAAATTTTGAATATTAAAATGTAAGTTTTCCACAATAACATAGTATAATTTGTTAAGAAAAGTTCTAAGTGATGACTAGAGATACTTGTTTTATGTGTTATAAAACGAACTCTCATTATTGCATTTAGATTCATAACAAATTTTGAATATTAAAATGTAAGTTTTCCACAATAACATAGTATAATTTCTTAAGAAAAGTTCTAAGTGATGACTAGAGATACTTGTTTTATGCGTCATAAAACGAACTCTTATGATTGTATTTAGATTCATAACATTACATGAAATTGATTTAAAAAATGTATTTATTATTATTATTTTTTACCTTATCCCACCGTACCCATATCATTTTTTTTAGATTTGTTGTATTGCCAAATCCGTATCATATCACTCGTATCCGTATCCGTGCTTCCTAATTTTCAGGCCTAGTTAAAGGACTTCACTTTCACTTCTCCTCCATGTCTTTATGGACTAGTGATGCTTACTCAAGTCATAGTTAACACCGAAACGAAGATATTATTTCTGAACATGATGGCCGATGAATTAGATCCGTCGACGTGGAGGTATGCCGTTCATCTTTTTTATGAATTCGCTCATAAATGGAGCTGATGATGTGATCGATTTGCGATCACACAACAACATTCTTAACTTACTTGGCACGGATGAAGAAGTGGCAAAACCATTCAACACCTTGGCTGCCATCTCTGTTGTTCAACCTTGACGCGGCATAATTAGGGATGTCGATGATAGGATTCAAGAGCACTACACTAGCAAGAGGAAGACCTGGACGGCTCAACTATTGCACAACCTTTTCACCACTCCCTGGACTGCTTTCGCTTTCTTTGCCGCAACTTTTGCACTGTTTCTGATTTTCCTTCAAACATTTTTTCCTCGTTCTGAATTCTGTGTGTATGTATTCATCATATATAGCAGGTTCAAGGACGACATGGGAGTAAGTTGGACGCATGGATCAACTCCGTTGTACTACTACTGCTGATATATGGTAAGTTAACCAAGCCAAACCCTCATGCCCAGCCAAGTCTTGCAAGTAATTTCAGTCTGGACACTCCAATGTTAGTAAAGCAGGAGTTAGAAAGGTCAAAAGAGAACACGAAAACACCTGCATATATCATTGATGTCTAAGCAAGCGAGACTTTATCAATTCCGGTTTAACTTTTTAACATCATTTTTAATAACCTCGTCCCATGATCTTTGGGGCACTCGCCATTTCTTAACTTGTATTACAACTATTCCTCTTCATTTGAGGGCCGTGTCAGTGTCACTATATCTTCGATATATACGTCCAACCATCTAAGTTCTCTTGATTTTTCTCAATAATGGGTGCTACACTTAATTTTCCTCACTTTCATTAGTGACCATCTCTTCTACTCACTCAATCCATCCATCTTAACAGTCTCTTCCATACAACACAGTTATTTTGGTCTAATAATGATCTAATAAAATTTTCCATTTAGCTCACGTCACATAAAATCTCACTAATTTACCTCTATTTTGTCCATCTTGTTCCAATTCTACTAGTTAATAGTTACCAAATCACCATCTATTTACTGGTCCAACTTCAATGCATCCCAATTTGGCAATTTTTTACCCGTAACCAAAAGATAACCTATCGGTTTTTGTGCGACACCAGTATCCAGCAAGGACTCCTATCCATTGTTTTACAAAAGATTAGTCTCTCTCCTCCTAAGTGTTTACCTCAATGAATGATTCAATGACAACAAGAGACAAGATTTTTTTGTCTATTGTCAAATATAAAAACAAATAAAAAATGGTTCAAACCCATTTCCAATGGGTTATCTGGTTTCGTTATCAAACCCATTTTCTTCTCTACGTTTTTCTCTCTTTCACTCCTGCTCTAAGAGAGATCCTCTGCGACCACTGATCTCTACATGGCTCTCTCTCTCTCTCTCTCTCTCTCTCTATCTCTAATCACAAGATTAAATCCATTTAAAAAACAAACGATCTCATAATTGCAATTTGCACGTGGCCAAAATCTCAAGATCAAACTTATTTAAAAAAATAAACCAAACTAATAGTGGGTGTTTCAGGCGTACCAAAAAAAAAAAATAGAAAATGAAAAAGAAAGAAGAAGCGAGAGAGAGAAGAAGAAGAAGAAGAAGAAAGCAACGTTTGTGTGTGTGTGTGTGTGAGAGAGAGAGAGAGAGACAGAGAGAGAGAGAAGCCTGCATGTGGTAGTTGCTTAAGCAGGGTTTACTAAGTACAAGGATGACCTTGAAACTAGGTAATCTAGTAAGCTTTCAAACTCACCAGCTGGTTTTGAGTCTAACTCAATTCTTGAAATTTATTCCAAATTTCAAAATACTCGAAACTTCTATAAGAAAAAGGACTTCTTGAGGAAGACAACATGCAAATCCTACAACATGCTCACATGACAGTTTCTATTTCACAACAAGGATTTCATTAATAACTATTAAGAATCAGTCCACCCAAGTCTAACATGAACAAATAAGCCACATATTAAAATACTACTGGTCTACAATCCATAAACTCGAATTTTAAAGCTTAATATACTTGAGCTAATACTACTGGTCTATACTCTTTATACAGGAACAACTGGCATAAAAGAGTCTCTGATCCCAGACTTCTCGAGGTCTTGAGTGGTACTGCCGGACAAGAGAAGAAAGAGAAGAGTGAGAAGAAGCTACAAAAAGAGGAAGAACAAGAGCTACTGAGACAGCAACGGGAACAGAAAAAGCAAAGTCGAATTCAGTATCGAAAACAGCAAATGCAAAGAAGACCGGAACAAAGAGCTCCTCAGCAACAACTGCAGCAAAGAGCTCCTCAGCAACAGCAGCAAAAGAAACGGAAAAGACAAGAGCAGCAGCAAGGATCTCCCCAGCAACCGCAGCAGGAAAAGAAACCGAAAATGCATGCTCCCTATTTAGCACCCAAACGCATACTCAAGTTCAGTAGATGTTCATTCGAGCATTTGGTGAAAAAAAACACCTCAGCAACTTTCTCACGAGGAGCAAACTCAGAAGTAGTCTAAGAAACACGAGCGTACTGATGTAGATAATTCCTAACTAAACTTTTACTTCAAGTACTTTAAAATAGCAATCTTAGCTTGTTACATTCTTTTTTGTGTAGCTTGAAAAAATTATTGTAATTTCGGACATTCTGTTTGAGGATTTTCCTGACGCCGTGGGAAAAACTTTTCATGAATTGGGGCTTATCTATTAAGTCAAGTATATTCATTTTTTCATCTTTAATTTTGTCCACTTTAATGTGATTATGCCAGTTTGCTTGCACATGTTGCAAGACCTGTTTAAACATTTTTGGGTAAGGGTGCACACGGTTCGGTTCCATACAGTTCCGACCCAAAAATGTTTAAACAGGTCTTGCAACATGTGCAAGCAAACTGGCATAATCACATTAAAGTGGACAAAATTAAAGATGAAAAATGAATATACTTGACTTAATACAATCCATATTTTTATATAAGGAGTCAGTAATACATAGAAATGAGAGTAAAGATGCTACTTGAAATTACCAAACAATCAACACAAAAGACTACAGATAAGTAATAGAAGACAAAATTTGGAAGGAAAATAGTTTGCTAAAATACCTCTTTTCTAGATCCCACAGCTCCGGAAATGACTGGAACATCTGTCAAAACAATGAGAATACGGAATTAAAAGATATTGCATAATATAAAAAAATAATAGTAGGTTCTGGCGAATGCCAGTAAAAGCAACCTTACTTATCAAAAAAAAGAATGCCAGTAAAAGCAACCTGGAAGGATTAAATGAAAGGAATTGCAGCAAGTGAGAGCTTTCCTGTTTCATCCCTAACCTAACGACCACAAATTAGAAACTTAATGCGCGTCAAAAGCTATTATATGGTGATGATATTTTGTTTTCCATAAAAGTTTGTCAGATCATATTTCGCAATTAAATAACTGCTAGACTTTTGGAGATGATATTTTGTTTCCAACGATGAAAATATGTTTTCTACCTAGAAAACAAAAATAAAAACTAAAGAAGCACATTAACATGAACATTTAGGAATAATTTAGCACATTAAGGTATCTAGGCACAACAATTATTTGAACTGGATAGCAGGTTAAGAACCAAACCAAATAAAACAGTTCTCTTGCAAGCACGGGTTTAAATATTTAGGAATAGTTTAGCAATCTACCTGGAATCAAATGGCCAAATTATGACCTATGCGAATTGAAATTATATATGTTGGTAGTGCCTCAGTGCTAGTGGTGGTGGTCTTTATGGAGAAAGAGATAAGAGGTCCTTTGAGGGAAAGGCAACCCCTATTAGTGTGCTTAATTTCTCTATTTGGATTCGAGGAAGAATTTGTAAATCCATAGAGGAGATAGTGGACTTTGTGTATACTTACGCGTCTAGGGGCCCTAATTTTCCCTTGTGTTGTTCTTGGGATGCGTTACCCTGTTGAGCGTGGGCTATAATATTTATCAAAAAATATAACTTCTTTTTCAATAAATTTATATTATTCAGCCTAAATTCACAAGCAAACATTAGACCAGTTCATCATTTAATTTTACAGAAACATAGAGAGAGAGAGAGAGAGAAGAGATAGAAACATAAAAATATACACTAGTGTTCAGGCACCTTTAAGAAGTCTGTTCTTCCTCAAAAATGGCTCCAGAATTATATGAAACTGGAAACAAATAAAGACATTCTGTAAGGGCATAGTTACCTTAAAAGGGTTCCAGTATAGTTTTGAAGCTTAAACAGCACATGAGAGCACAACAAATAAAAGACAAAATATTTGCATTTCAAGAAAGAAAATCAATATTAAAATTCCCTTTTCCACAAATTGCCGTTATCTTATACAATTCAGAATCAATTTTCATTACAGAAATATAAAAAATAAAAAATAAAAAAAATAAAAAAATCCTGTGTTGATGCCAAATATGATTGGACTGTTTTTGGGTAAATCCTTGTAATGATACACTTAAATGACAGAAGGTCATTTTCATTAACCAACAACATTACATGGCACAAAGTTTATTATCTTGCGCAAGAAAAAAAAAATGTTGTGAACTCTCAGAAGTCAAATTTGTTCCACAAATTATTTTATTGGAAGTTCAGTAAGAGTTAACATGGTCATGATGATGGCCATTTAGTCATGCCCAATTCTTCCACAAATTACCACGTGAATGCACTCCTCTTTCCAATTCGCAACCATAATTGTGCAACAGAACATCAAAGTTTGCCTCTTTCTTGTTTGTCATAAATAGAGGAATTCTGTTAAAGCCAGACCAGTAATGTTATTAGAAGTAATGTACTCTCTGTATTATACAACATTTGAATTGGCAATTAGGGTCAACTTTCCCCAGTTTGTTACACATCAAAATATTTGGTAGTTTAAAAATTTATTATATTTACTGGGTTTGTGCTTTTATGACCTATAATTGAAAAGTTCTCAAGCAGCAACCCCTCCAGATAAGATGTGCTAAACTTTGCTAAGCATAAAAAAAAATTGAAGAGTATGTCTCTTCATCTATTACACTCAGCTACTTATGTACGAAAGAGACGTATAATATATTATCCTCCATTCTCTCTTGTACCGTATTGATTAATCTTAATCCTTGCAATAATATTGTTAACAAAAGGTTGGAAAACTTATTTCACTTGATTCATTAATCTAGAACATACCTTTGATTACACGGAAAGAAATTTGCTTCTTCTCAGCCAATGGTTTGATGGTAACTGCTCTGAAAATTTGACCAAAATCAATGGTCAGAGACAGAGACCCCTATAATGCATGGAATAGAAAAACAAATTATACAGCACAGAGTAGCCCTTACATACCTTGCTAGAGAGAAAGGAATATCAGCAACACAGACGCCACTGAGGAATGTACAAGTGTTCTATTTCTCAGAGTATAGCGTTTGTTCATTGAAATTGGTAAAACATCACGTAGATCCTGTCAAACAGTAAATCAGTTTAATGATCAATAAAGCCAATTTATTAACACCATGAACTTACACAATTGTGTTTGCGACATTGAAACCATTTCAACACTGTATATTTATCAAGCAGGGGCAGAAACCTCAAGACAAAATACAAGGAATTAAGTACCAATGTAACTAATATTAAATACAAGGAGACACAACCAAAAAAGATAAGCTGATACATAATGGAAATAATTAGCAACAAAAAACAGAGAGGTTGGCATATCAGTCCCTTGAACACCCAACAGCAAAATCTAGACCACAAACAACCAGTAAGGAATATTCATTCAACCAAATTGTAAATCAGGAAAAAAAAAAAAAAAAATTCAAAATATTTGCATAGTCAAATTAAATAAACCTGATGCAATGAAATCAAGCGCAATAACATCCATTACATGCAACCCTTTAAATCCGCTCCTCCATGTGTAAATAGTATGATAAAAGTTTTCCAGGGTATGTATGTGCCCAAGAACATCCATTACAATTGACGAAGGGGCATACCCCCAGCAAAAAACAAAAGAATCAAAAGTTAAAGTTATCCACCACTTGCCATCCTGCAAAAAAACAATTTATAAAAAGAAAGGGTAATCAGTATATGTCTCTCAATGAATAAACCAACCATAAAAGCACATGAAATCAAAAACTCAATTAAACTAATACGGACAGGAAGATTGAGATCAAAGAGAGACTCAACACTCAACTCCCCAAGTTTATAGGGGTCATCTTCCAGTTCGGCTTTTAGCAAGCATCCTGCAGTAAAGGTACGTATGTTATAAAATAAATAAGATGATAAATGTATTGCAAAATGAAAGAGGAGGCTGAACATTACATTCCATATTATTAGCTCGAAAATAGATAAGCCCCAATTCATGAAAAGTTTTTCCCACGGCGTCAGGAAAATCCTCAAACAGAATGTCCGAAATTACAATAATTTTTTCAAGCTACACAAAAAAGAATATAACAAACTAAGATTGCTATTTTAAAGTACTTAAAGTAAAAGTTTAGTTAGGAATTATCTACATCAGTACGCTCGTGTTTCTTATACTTCTTCTGAGTCTGCTCCTCGTGAGAAAGTTACTGAAGTTTTTTTTTCACCAAATGCTCGAATGAACATTCTACTGAACTTGAGTATGCCTTTGGGTGCTAAATAGGGAGCATGCATTTTCGGTTTCTTTTCCTGCTGCGGTTGCTGGGGAGATCCTTGATGCTGCTCTTGTCTTTTCCGTTTCTTTTGCTGCTGTTGCCAAGGAGCTCTTTGCTGCTGTTGTTGCTAAGGAGCTCTTTGTTCCAGTCGTCTTTGCATTTGCTGTTTTCGATACTGAATTCGACTTTGCTTTTTCTGTTCCGGTTGCTGTCTCAGTAGCTCTTGTTCTTCCTGTTTTTGTAGCTTCTTCTCACTCTTCTCTTTCTTCTCTTGTCTGGCAGTACCACTCAAGACCTCGAGAAGTCTGGGATCAGAGACTCTTTTATGCCAGTTGGTTAAATTCGTTGGATCCAATGAAAGATCGAAACCATTTGGACCCATCAAGATATCCTTTATGTTTGATGTCTTTTCCATTCGGCTGATTTTTCTTATAAAATTGTACCTCTTCACACCATTGTAGAAGAGAGCATGATTTTTTATAAAAAAACCATAGGTCACGGGGAAACACAAAGAAAGGATTATCAAAAGTATAGCATTATATTTGAGACCCAATAAAAATTTGTATTAAAAATTACCTCATTATTTCTCTGGTATTGCACAGAGGCAGACAGATGTTGATAAACACAATATACAATTCAACAAAGGCAGGAGGTGGATTTGAGATTTTCTGTCCAGCCAACCGAACAATCTCTTGAAATGCAATAATCTCCATTCTCATCCGGTTTAAAGTGTCTGTGATTTAACTTTGTTAAAGAGCATTTAAAAAAAAAAAAAAAAAAAAAAACCACCTAAGATAAGGGTTTACCATTACGGTGCTTAGGCTTTGTCAATTTGACATGAAAGTCTTCATCTACAAATACAGTTGACAGACTACCCCCATAATATCGGTCTCTGATGAAAAACTTATCCAGACCTGCTACTATTCCTCTATTGAAGAAAAACACGCACATTGACTAACCAACTCGAGTAAAACCAAACATTGAAGAGAAACAAACATATAAAACATCCAAACAACAAACAAACATATACACAATCACTGTCCAACTTGAGTAAATCCAAACATTGAAGAGAATCAAACACATAAAACATCCAAACCCACAAACAAGCATATGCCATATGATCATATCACTGACCAACTCCAGTAAATCCAAACTTTGAAGAGAAACAAACACATACCCAAATCACTAACTAACTTCAGTAAATCCAAAAATTGAAGAGAAACAAGCATAAACAACTTGAGTAAATCCCAAATATTGAAGAATAACAAACATATATATGTATGTATGTATATATAAATCCAAACCACAATATATGAGAAATAGACATATACCCAATCGTTGTCTGATGGAGCCACAAAAACCCCTTTTCCATCTCTTCTCCAAAGGTCACCTGCATTACATGTATTAATCCAGTCAACTATTCTCATGCCAGAAACCCTCTCAAAGAAAAGATTGATACTCCCATTGTCCTCCCGCCGGAACACAACACATTTCAGAATATTGGGGTGGTCATAACGGTCAAGTCTATTTTTCAACCTCATGGCAGCAGCATTATCCTCAAAGTTTTTAATGGATAACCCTTTACCCACTCCTCTCTCTATTCTATTCCTATTTATATCCCCCATGGGACATATGACAAACGTATACCCGTTTAGTCTGCGTGGCCTTTGCCTCTTGTACCAGAGATGAACACGATTCACCATTCCTTTGAGCCAGATAGAATGAAAATGGTGAATTAGGGGTTTTTGAGAGAAATAGCTGGTTGTGAAGGAGACGAAGGAGGAGAGTAGGGTTTGGACCGTCAAATACTTTTGGTCTGAGAATAGAATAGGGTTTGGAACGGTCTAATATTGCATGTCTCAAACTGATTGGTTGGGTTTAATGAGGGATAACAACTTCAGTCCTGTTTGGAAGGAGAGCTCATATAAAAAGAAAGGAAAGGGGAAATTTTCAAACTTTTATGTAGTTCTGATTAAATTTTAAAATTTTGGTTTCCCCCTATTTTTTCAAACAAAAAAATAGTACCTTTTTATTTGACTTTTTTATTTTATCCAACAATTTAATTGTTTGTATATGTTTTGAGATGATTTTCTTATTCTTTGTGAGTTGTTAAGCAGTGTTTTTATGAAACAATCTTATTTATTTCAATAAAGTAGTTGCATAAAATGAATGTCTTTTAATTCCAAATTTCTATTTTACCAACAAATTAATTGTTAGTACTCCCTCTGTCCCATATTAGATGTTTCCCATATTAGATGTTTCTTTTGGGGAGTAAAACTTTTTAAGGGGACATGTAATTATTGCATTGTCCCCTTTAAAAATTACAAGTTACCCTTTCAATATTAAATATATATATATATAAAATGAAGTTTGAATTTTTTTTAAAATTTTAAGGGTATTTTATGAAAAGATGTGAAATATGTTGTTTAAACTAGGGACAAGTATTTTGTGACAACCCAAAAAAAAGAAGATGGACAACTAAATTG